ATCACTGAAAATTTGCATAAGGAGAATAAAACACTTTTTTGACACCACATGTTTCACTCTTATTCATACAAACGCCGCACCCTCGATACGACTAGAGAACAACGAAATAAAACCTTTAATAAATGTGTTGGCAATGGATATTTACATAAATTTACATTAACGGATAATTATGTACAAAACTCTTTATTAATATCGTATACAAAAGAAAACGGGAAACGGGAAATATTACGCAACAGAACAGATCGTCTGGAGTTGCCTGTTTGTGTTTTTATTATGCAATTTCTCAGCCCGAGAAATATGCTCAGATTATGCTAGGCTCGTTAACCCTATTAGTATTTTTACTTTTTATGACAGAAGTTTTTTTTTCTCTTTTTAATAATTTTTGATAGATTGTTGCCAGGTTATAGTCTCCAGGTAATATGGGTGCCGACGCTGTGTGTTTTTTTTATACAATTTTATTACTAATGTTATTATCATTATTTTTTCTAGCGTCAGGTATGAAATAAACACGAGTGATTCAGGGGGATAACGGTGTAAATAAAGTTATTCTGAAGGGTCGACTTCATGCTTTCTACCATGTATGATAGAGTTATACCTTTCACACCCAACAACATTTTACGGTGTATTTAAAATGTTGAAATACATCCAACTAGTTAAGAGATGGCAGTATTGCGACACACAGCTATGGATATCTGGAAAGAACGTCACGCATGGACCCAGTCACTGATGTGTTGCGAGTGTAATATATAATTATCTTTATTATTGTTTCTTTTTGGTGTATAAATGATCCAAAGGGTAGCATAATGTGGAAAATTTACACAGTTTGCTTCAAGATTTATTAAAAACTGTTTATTAGGATTTTTATTAATATTATTGTTTTTTTTTCGTTTTTTTTGACGTTCTCAGATACCCAAGCGTCTCGTCACGTGTACAGTTTTTGTAACATAAACACACAAGTAAAAACTATAACAAATACAATTCAAGATGAATCTGCAGTTTAGTGTAATGTTCCTCAAACAAACTTGAATATTCTTTTTTCTTTTTTTTCCTCAAAGAAATATCCATAAGGAATAACAGTCATCAATCGAAGGGAATCAAGAAATCAGTTTAAAAAAAAAATCTTTTCCGTGCCATCCCGCCTGTGTTCGTCCGACTTCCATTGTCGAGGAAACCTTAAACTGACCTTCAAAACTCCTTTACATTCAAGCTGACGTTTAGCAAAGTAAGACTGGGAGTTGAATCGCTGAGAAATTAGGTGTTCAAGTGTGACGGGAATGTGTTCCGGGATCTTTTCTGTGGCACAATTATCTAATACGTTACTAAAGTATGTTATCTAAAAACAGTCGCATCAAGAGTTCAATATCGTGGTTATTACCTGTTAACAATGTTAGAATTACGTGTCCTTACTGATAAGTTCAACCATCTACATATAGATTTTTTTTGGTTATTTTTTTTCTTCAAATTCCAGATATACCTATTATTGAAAGTGCTTGTAAAGCATCTTATAACCCAACAACAATAACATCAATTGGCAATAATAACCATAATTAAAAGAGACTTCAAAATAATAATAAGAAAAAAATAAAACGTGGCATCCCTCAAAGATAAAAAAACTCATCATTATCATCATTGTTTTGATTAACGCATGATTCACTTTTTTCATTTTTCATCATGTATTCTACACTCGTCCCTTTTGTGTCATGCAAATGATCAACAAGAAATACTATGCATGAACAAAACCACTTTTATTACTCAGCTATAAGAAAAAATGTTACTCCTGTTTCTCATAAACTAACATGTACGTATCTTTTTATATATATAATAAACAAGATCAACATACTATAACTACCGAAATAGTTAAACAAAAAAGTAAAGTACATCTCAAGACAATGCATTTTACTTAACAATTTAAAAGCTACATTACCTTATCAAAAAACGAAAGGAATGTACGTAGATATTTTTTTTCTGCCATTAACGGAATCTTCAATTTTGCATATTTTCTTATCCTTAAATGATATGTAAGAGCTACACATCTACGAACGATAACTAATATTTGAACATTTCGTCTAACTTATTATTCAACAATACAAGAAGTTTTTTTTTTTAGTTCTGATCAATTCTGTCTGGTTTAGAACTTCTTAGACATATTTTCACTTTAAGAAAATCAGAAACGCTGCACTAAATTCTTCACTTCAATAAATCTATTTAAAAAAAAACGACAGAACATGTTATTTTCCATGTTAACAGCTATAGTCCGTACCATTATATTTCTAACAATCTAATTTCGGTCTATTTTCTTGTAATTACTGCATCAGAAATGATACTTGGCTGAGAGTTAACAGCCTCATCCCATTTTCTTCAGAGCAAAATTCAAGACGAAGTTGTTATGTTACTGTGTCATTTGCTGACGGAATGAGGTTAATACACTACTAAATGATAATGTTTAAACATTAATAAAATGTTTAATGCTGGCACAAAACTGCAATAATGACAGTGCATACAAACACCAACTCCAACACTACATTTTTTTTTTATAATTAAACTAACATCATTTGCATTATAATCCACAAAAAAATAGCAGATTGTTCCACTTTGTGCTGTACAAATCATTCACATAAGAACTTTGTCGAGTGAAATAGAAGACGCAGATGTTTACGGTGATTAACTCGGACAACACGCATTTGCCCAACGTATTTTGCTTGAAATGACGGGTCAGTTGGCCTTTCCGTTCGAGGTCATGTGTATATTGACCTTGCTGAAGGAGCCTATGGTCTAATCAGCTGGCAAATCAGCAATACGAGAGATGCTCATTAAGCCAGACCTCATTAATCTATTCATTAACTGACTCTGAGGAGGTCTTTGACGTACCGGTAACTTCTAAATGCCAAACCTCCGCTTTCTAGTAAAGATTTGACAAAATTTCTCCTCGGTTCAGAAAATTGTTGGCTGATGGTCTGATACTATTAATTTTTTTAACGTAACTTTTATCTTTGAGAAATCACAAGAAATCGCTTCCTCGTCATCGTGGAATGTTATTGCATTCTTTGTAATTGCGTTTATGGTATACTGCTATTGCTTTCCTACTGGGTGTTCCGCGTCTTCGAGTTCCATGGCTAAGACGTCTTCCTGGAATGGCCAGTTTACCATGAATGACTTACAATATCACGTGTATGTATTGTATATCATAGTCGGACTTACACACCAGTCGCGCGGCGCAAGAACAGCATTTGCCTTACCAGACTATGGTAATGCTCGACATGCAAAGCGCCTTTCACATCGATAGAAACTTTGGCTACAACATACTCGTTTTCTTCAACAGACACATATGACCCAACCCTGTAAAATCAAATGAGGAAACACAGGCTATCAAAATCATGTTAATCAATACTACATTTAGGTTCAACATAGAATTATGAATTAGATATTCCAAGGCATTCGTTACTCCAAACTGGGTAACAGTCATATTGGTCCACCATCATCGACGCCGAGCCTGAGTGACGTCATCCCGCGTCACGTGACCACAGGGACCGGCATGGTGCTCGGGGCCGATGACAAAGCTTACAGTTTCTCTAGTTTCTATGGACCATGGAAACCCTATGAGACAGACAATCACAAAGTCAATAAGAGACAAACACATCAAGTCCACGCACAGCACAAACAGTCAGAAGTGTTCCACCCACAAGATAAAACAACACAGAGCATATTGCTAACAACATTGGTTTAATCATCAATAATGTGCGAGCTCAAGATGCATCAGTTTGACCCACGTGACCACGTCCCGAGTGCTCATTGGCTGATACCGGTAACTCTACGACCAATCAGCATTCGGGATTTTCAACATCTTGGAGAACTGCTCGGTCTTACGTTTGATCGAAGAGCGCTTTACATAATGATGACTTTACGAACATATGGACTTCAGAAAATCGTTGGAAAGACTCGTTCACGGCCCAACAAAGAAAGGCAAACAATACTAACTGTTAGGATTCTCCCCTTTCTCGCAGGATCGAATTGACTCGTCCGTTGTAACCCGGGTTTTTTTTTAAGTGACTCGGACTAATGACTTCTATAAAGCGCAGCCTAATAATCTAATAACATTTCGCTATAACTTTGTGTCTGGTTATTCTGCAGCTTTCTGTGGCGGCGGCAAGAAAGGTCAGAGAGAGTGCGGAGAAATGCGCGCGCGACTTCGAAACACGATTCTACGGGGGACTCGTTAACACTTTGAAGAACAGGTGATGCAGGGGGCGGGTGGGTGGGCCTTGGAAGGGAGATAAAGGGGGGGGGGGTGATACACAGGCTTAAAGGAGGTCAAATGCCTAACAGCCAATAAGGAGACTCCGACCTAGCATAAAACACAGAGGGATAAAAAAGGGTCCTTCACGTTCGAACATGGCGGGTGGTGCCGCGGGGAGGAGAGGCAGGGACCGCGGGAACAAAACCTTACGAGGTCGCGTTGTTTGACGGGATTCGCTGTTCTTTTGAGATTTAGAGCAGGTGGAAAACGATCACTGTGTATCTGATGGTATGGCACGTGGATATCTACATGAGTTTTTTATTATTCAGTTGTCATCAGTTAAGTTATTTAAGGCAGAATAGCTGAAGACTAGTGACACTAAAGCTACGTTCTCTTTCACCTTTGGCATCGTCACAGCTGCAGACTCTTCACGGCGCGTCCGGTTCTACGCTTGTTTGGAAACGGAAATCAAAATTATAACCGTAACTAACGATTATGGAATGAAGCTTTACTGAGAAGTTAGTATTATTCCTTTTTAAACTCTATAATGCATTACAAACAGTCACGACAACAGGCTGCAGTGCGGAAGTGGCGCAAATTGACAAAGAACGTGGCCTAACTTTGAGCCAACGGTGATTTGAATGGGACCTTATCATTATCATCATCATAATCATCATCATCATCATCATCAGCATTTCCGGATTCCTCTTCCTCCTCCACCGATCCTTTGCTTCTCGCTCTCCCTCGCCGGCGCCCATCGCTCGCGTCCTCAGGCTCTCGCGGCCTTACATGTCCCCGAAGATCCCGGCGAAGGTCTTACGCAGGTTCTTCATGGTGTCTTCCGTGTCGTCGCCGGTCGCTGCCTCGTTGGCCGTGACGGACGTCTGGCGGCCGAACAGCGACGGCTTCTGCCCCACCGACTGCTGCGACGACTGACTCACCTCGTCCACCTGCCGCCGCGTACCGCTGGCGCTGCTGAACCCACTGATGCTGCTCGACTGGGAGGCTGTTGGAGAACCAGCTGTTGAGAGGGACATCGGTCAGGCGGTGCCGGGGCGGTTAGAGACCAGCTGTGTGAGGGCAGGGAGGAGGACGGGCCGGTGGAGTGCCATCTGCTACGAGGGAGGAGGGTCGGGTCGGGGGGCGGGGTGGCACGAGGGAAAGGGAGAAAAGGATAAGACAGGAAACAAAGGAACGGCGCAGGAAGAGGGAGGAAAGGATAAGATAGAAGACAAAGAAACGGCGCAGGTAGAGGGAGGAAAGGATAAATAGAAGACAAAGGAAGCCGTAGGATAAATATCCCCAAAGGACGATTAAAAGGAAGGTCCAAAGGATAATGGAAGGGTGATAGCAAGGGTAGACAAGGGGGTGGTAGGCTACATAGATTTTTTTTTCTTCTTTTTCTTTTTCTTCTTTTTCTCCTTTTTTTGAGAGAGAGAGAGAAAAAGAGAAAGAGAGAAAGAGAGAGAGAGAGAGAGAGAGAGAGAGAGCGAGAGAGCGAGAGAAAGAGAGAAAGGGGATAAGGGATAAGGAGACAGGCAGGGGCGTTTCGTAGCGATGGCGTGGGAAAGGAGAATGTGAAATCGTGAGGCGTTGCGGTGTGGTGTGAGAGTAAGTATATGCTGGGCCTCTAACATTCTAGTCTACATCGAAATTCCACAAACAAAACAAACAAACAAACATGCAGACATTAATTCACATGCATTATTGTCTTTCCTGAAGTAGAGTGTAAAAAAAATCATATATATCTATTATTTCTACTTCACAATTTGTCTTGTCATTTCATGATAAAGCTTCCAGGCACAAAGTTCATTCAACCAAACTAGTGTTAGAAAAAGCGGAATTTTAAAGTTAGTCTACATTGCACTATCCATACCTAATCTGTCTGCTCATGCTTTCTAATAGAACCATAACTCTTCCCTCGTGCTTGCCTTCAGTCGCCAATCAAAAGTGCTTTTACCACGAATGCAGTTCATACTTTTATCATCATACTTTCCCCGTGTCATCCATTCTCTCACAGTTAATTAATGTGATCCTCGCATTTGACACACACACACACATCCACACACACTA